GTGACACCTCCAGCCCCATTGGTTTATGCTTCGCCTGTTTCCACAGCCCCCCCCCAAATGAATTAGAGATCCGAAATACAATCCAATCTTTGAAGCGTCACAAGACTTCGGGTCCCGACAGTTTACCACTGGCTCTATTCAAAGATGGCAGGAGTGTACTTATCAGCGAAATCCTATCACTCTTCACGAAAGTTTGGACTGAGGAGAAGGTTCCGAACTCATGGGGAGAATCGGTCATTATTCCGATTCACAAGAAGGGCTCGCGTGACGATTGCCGCAACTACCGCGGAATCTCCTTAACCGCTGTCGCATTCAAACTCTTCGTGTCGGTCCTACTTCTCAGGCTTTCAACGACTAGAGAGGAGTTTTCCCAAGAAGAACAAGCCGGATATTGTCCATGCCACGGCTGCATCAGCCAAATCTTCACGCTTCGCCAACTTCTCGAACTTCGTCACATACACCGGCGGCCAACAATTGTAGTGTTTTTGGACATCCGAGTGGCATTTGATTCAGTACATAGATCTGCGTTGTGGAACTGTTCACTGAAGAAAACTGTGCCCGACAAGTTTGTAACCATTCTGAAAGAACTTTACAAAGTCAAAGCTTACGGCACGCTCTCTTCTTCATTTGCTGTGAGAAGCGGTTTTCGCCATGGTTGCCCTATTTCACCTTTCCTCTTCAATTTCGCCATCGAAGATGTTGTTCAAAGAGCACTGGAAGGTGTACAGGACTGCGGTCTTGAGCTCCTACCTGGAGACAGAGTCACGGACTTGCACTGCACTGGGAACGACCCACAAACCGTCCAGAGTGCTTTGGACCGCTTGGCGATGGAGGCTTCTAAATACGGCCTATGCTTCACTCAGGGAAAATGTAAAACGCTGCTCTAGGACTGGCAGGTGCCTGAACTTGCGCTCACCATCACTGGACATGTTCTGGAGCAAGTCCCTTGCCTTACTTATCTAGGGAGTTGCATCACGGCTGGTGGCGATGTTGAAGATGAAGCCTCACAACGGATTGCAGAGGCCCGCCTTGCATTTATCAAACTGAGACATCTACGGCGTCGTCGTGATGTTAGTCTTAAGCTCAAGGGCTGGGTGTACAATACTTCCGTCCTTGCAGTACTCTTGTACGGCTGTGAGACTTGGCCTCCCTCGGAAGACATGAAGCAGCTGTCGGTCTTCGACAATCGCTGTCTACGAAGGATTGCTCGGGTGTGGTGGCAACACCACGTAAACAACGCAGAGGTCCGAGACAGCGTGCTTGGAGCGAATAGTGCCAGTCTTCAGGACGTTATTCTCCGACATCGCATGCTTTGGCTGGGGCACGTTTTACGCATGTCAGCCCATCGCCCTCCACGTCGAGCACTATTTGCACTCCTAGGGAACGATTGGAAAAAGTGCCGCGGTGGACAGCCAATGACGTGGAGAAGGAGCATAAGGAAGGCAACCTGAAGTTTGGCGGCAGTCTCACCAGTCCGTCTTCCAGGTTGGGGACCAAGAGATGCTGAATCTCAGTGGTTAGAAACATTGGACGTCATGGCCCGCAACGGACATCAGAGACGTCAATGTTGTTCTGCCATTATATCCCTCCTTTTATACATACAAGAAACAACCAAAACAAAAATTCAGAATGGCGTCTGTAAAACCAAAAAAGATCGTTTTTCATTTTTTTACTCACAGTTCGTCTTCCTATCTTTTCCACTTTTTTCTTCTGTCATGGTTCTGATGGCACAATGTCTGTTAACAGACTGTGAATAAATATATACACCTGCCACTTGCGCCTACTGACCACTCAGTATGCAGACAGCACCGTTGTCATAGATTTTCCTGTTAATATATGCGGCAAGTCCTTGTTTGCGACACACTACCCTGAAATTAATGATCTATTTGTCTGCGGGCTCCTTATTCCATCTTCTGTGTTGTCCTCGCATACATTAATAAGACGTACCCGCATGTGGATGTTCCTATTTGGAGATAGTTTTATATCGACTTACCCCATGCGACGAACTATCTTTGGGTTTTTCGTTTCTTCCTTGTCTGTCTCTCTTACTCGTCGGCCGTCATGCGCCGGGGAATTGTTTTTCCTGCGCTCATGTCATACTTATGAGTGAGTTTATTAAGTGAGTACCACATCGTCATCATCATCACCATACACGTTAGCTAGAGGTGGGGAACACCTCAACTACTGTGTCGCAATACACAGAAAAAGGAGAAAAAAGCGACTGGTGCAAGTCGGCTGAGGTACCGATAACGGATGGGCATCGTTCCGGTAAGCTACCAGCCGGCTGCTGTGCATCAGCAAAACAATTACTATGCAAAATTATGTAAGGCTAAATAATAAGATCGTGGTTGGAGGGAGAGGCTAAGATGGATGGAGTGGGACAAAGAAACTCACAGCACGAACGCCACTGAGGTGGGATCCTAGCCATATCACCAAGTGTGTCCAACCAAATGTGTTCATCGTCTTTCGGACCCCAACCAGGGAGCCGAGACGCTCCAACCGAGGCCGGCTCAGAAGTGAGGGCTTTCATTCCTCTGGACCAAGTCATTGCTTGGCCACCTCTTCTCTTCTTCCATCCATACCCCCGGCGCGCAAGCAACGCACGTCGCGGAAGTCGGTGGGCTGGCATGCGTAACACGTGGCCGAACCATCGGAGCCTGGTGCGTGAAATAACGGTGCTGAGCGGTTCATTTCCTTTTCCTGTGCCGTAAACAGGGCGTCGGACACGCTCGTTGCTCACGCGGTGTTCCCACCAGATGTGAGCTAAATTACGAAGGCACCGGTGGTCGAACATAACTGGCCTCTTCAAGTCCGTTGCTTTAAGCGGCCAGATTTCACAACCGTACAGTACAGTCGAAAGTGCCGCTACATTGTACACTCTATCCTTCAGGGCAAGCGTGATTTCGCGCCGCCGCCATAAGTGGCGAAGGTTAGCAAGAGCGCCCCGAGCTTTTGCTATACGATTCGTGATTTCATCTTCAATCCTACGGGCGCTGATACAAATTCCCAGGTAGTCGAATTTTTGAACGACTTCTAGCTGATACCCACTAACGGTCAGCGTAGGAGGCGGTCCAGACCAATCTTGGAAAAACGCTTTGCACTTCGAGGGTGTAAAGCAAAGTCCGGAGTGACGTACAGCTAGTGCTAATCTGTCCAGTGCCTCTTGGGACGTCTGGGAGCTGTCACACACAGATTAGGGCAATATCGTCAGCATACTCCAAGTCAAGAAGTCGTTCTCTTGGGAGCAGATCCACACCTTCTAAGTCGTGTCCTGTGAACGCGATTTCCATGTCTTCATCGACAGCGAAGTTGAAGAGGAAAGGTGACAGCGGGCATCCTTGTCTCACACCGCTGGAGATATTAAAAGGCGACGACAGCTTCCCGTAAACCCTCACTCTGCCCGAACTACGCGCATATAATGCTCGGATAATATTCACATATTTCTCAGGTACACCTTTCCCGAGTAGACAGTCCCAAAGTGCATGTCTGTCCACCGAATCAAATGCACCTTTGATATCAAGGAACACGACAACTGTGGGCCACCAATATATGTGGCGGTGCTCTAACAGCTGACGGAAAGTGAAGATGTGGTCAATGCAGCCACGACCTCGACGAAATCCAGCTTGCTCTTCACAAATCTGGCTTTTACGAGTGTCAGTCAGTCTGTGAAGGATGACAGAGGCAAGTAATTTGGAGGTGACGGGGATCAGCCTGATTCCTCTGTGGCTGCCGCATTCCGAAACGTGAGCCTTCCTTGAAAATTGGGACTATGACGGAGCGGCTCCAATCGGTTGGGACAGTTTCCTGCTCCCACAGTTTGACTAGTAACTCGTGCAAATCATCCACAAGAGCAGGTCCCTCGAATTTGAAGAGGGCTGGAGGAGGATCATATGGTCCCGCGGCTTTATTTAACTTCAACAGACTGATCTCACATTCGACTTCTGAGCGAGAGGTTGGATCCAAAAGGACAGCCCAGCGAGTGGGGCGATCAGTGGCCGGCGAGAAATCTAACAATTCCGACCGATTAAATTGCCTCTTAAAGTGCTCAGCCCAACGCTCTACGCGTTTTGATAAATTGTGGATAGACTGTCCACTCTCGTCACGTATAGTTTCACTAACACCAGGTCTTCTGCTTCCCGATTCTCGTATCAGCCGGAATAACTTACGATGGTTACCAAGGGCAGCGGCCATTTCCATCTCTGATGCACGATGAGACCACCATGATTCACGGTTTCTCTTCAGGCTAGCACGGAGTTTTTCCCGGAGCTCTTTGCGAGTTTCATTGTGTTCGCTTCCAGCCGGAATATGCCGGCGAGCATCGATAAGTTCCAGAGACTGTGAAGAGACCTAATGTCCGTGTTGGTGATTAGGCATACCACGTGAAACATGCTTCACTATTGGTCAGTTGTGAGCGTAATGTGTTATAATCGTGGTTAATGGGGCATAGGGCCGTCAAACAGACTTTTACCGCCCCGGACAGTATATTGGCCGGATGTTAAGTCACATGAAACATGCAGGACAGCCGACAATATAGGGTCAGGTGTGTGGGTGTCGCATAGTCGGGGGGCTCGTGTATATTAACCATAGTAGAGTATTGGATGAGGATGAAGTTCGTGCTCAAGGGTGTTGGACGACATTGTACTTTCAAGACACCGAATCGCCTGGCATATCATAATGTATAAGGGCTTTTGATTTCTAACTGCCATCCGTCGCGAATGTCAAATGTGCAATATACCGACAGTTTTCGACACAAACATAACGTATCAAGTTACAGGCTTTTCAACTCTTCGTCTGGAATACCATCCGTCACTAGCAGGTGGTGCTAACGGGAGATATGGGCAGTGACATGAAGTGAATTCCTGGCTGGATTTTGCATGCAACTTTTTTCAAATTCCGTTTAGCCTTTTATAACTCGGTAATATAACATGACTGTAGGCAACTTGCATAATTCTGCTGTTCTCTTGTTTGATCTCATCCTCCCTTTCCTCTATTGCACACAGCTTTGGGCATTGTTACACTTCATTATGCCCAGTCTGTTTGATTCGCACGACGAGTTCGCCAACTGGTTCTCTCGCGACATCGAATCTCAGGTAACGGCTTCGTCGAACACAGCCAGCAGTGCAACTAGCTCCCTCGCCACTTCGAAATTAAACGAGAACCAGTTATCTCGCCTGCATTTGATTCTGAAACCATTTATGCTTCGTCGAACCAAAACCGAGGTCGAGCACGAGATATCGGCAAAAGTGAGGATAACTCTTTCATTGTATGGGACTACATTTGACCTAAATCGTTTCGTTTCCTCCACATCCCTGAGGGCCTGTGGATTAGACAAAGACATTTTATTTTTCCTCTGTGCCCATCTGGAAACATTTTAAACTATTTGTTGGCAATTTATGATACAAGCTAGCTCACGCTTAACACTTTACATGACAGCTATTGCTCTTTGCATCAAATTGCGACACTTTGTTGCTCTCGATCACTTGTTGTCTGTGACGCTTATTCGATGCTTTCTAGTCTCCGCCCAACAACTGAGCTGTTGTGATCCCGAGAAGCTAACTGGAAAACGCATGGTTAGATTAATGATAACGTATGCCCGTATTCGATTCTACAGGTGTAAATTTATGAACGACAATAGATTTGTTTACTTGACTGTCTCGGCTCCCACTCCTCCGAAGCACACAGAGCTTGGATCTGCGACTATCACCGGACGCCAAGTTAAATAAGCTTGCCGAGAGGATTAAATACGCCAGCAATCAAGTTTGCACCACAATCTTTTCATGCCGTCTATTTAGCCTGACTCAACTGGACATTTTAACTACAGGCTTCAACTGTCATAGATCGGTAGCATTACATGTCTGGCATCACGAAATTTGCTTGAAACCAATCAAGAACTGATGCTTTCAAAAGGACTTGAAAGCAGCTGTTTAATATATTTGCTTGGCAAAGTAACACTTTTGACACTTGCTTCGTCAAACCAGATGAAGCAGCATATGTAGCAGATATAACAGACTCAGTCGCAACGAGACTGCACCTTAAGGTTTTGCGACGCTTTGCATGCCTTATTGACCGATTGAGCTATACTGGGTAATGCCTCCGGCACCTTGAGAGCTACTCCTACCAGGTTGGTCAATGGTGAGAGGTCAGACAAACTCAGTCTCCTGCTGCTCCACGTTGGGGGTTGGAAATGGGATGGCGTCCGTTTCTGTAAAACTAAATCATTGCCACTTCCCCGCTGCCTTGCGGGCAGTCTTTTGAGCCAAAGGCTTTTGATGAGGACCCTAATCGTCCTCCTGTCTAGGTCTGGGCGCCATGGCCCTATCTCAGCCCACATACAACCATGACATTTTTTCAAACCTAAACTTCATCCTGCATCAGCCGTCGTGCAGATTATCAAGGGTCGCCTTATCTGCTGCATACAGCAGGGCGGATAAGCGAAAACATGCTACTGCTGGCGCCTCCCTTCTTTCTTTTCCACTTGTTTCTCTTACTCCCATCCCGACTCCCTTTACTAACCTCCTATAATTCCCAGCTTAATTGACAGCAACCGAAGTGCCACTGGAGTAGAACCATCTGCAGCAACCATCCCACAGCACCTATCGGCAAAAGTCCCTTATAAGGCCACGCTATCCCGTTTCCATGGCGACATTCAACGTTCGCACTCTAAGACAAACAGGTCAGCAGGCTGCACTCGCACGCACCTTGGACACCCTGTGTATAGATGTGTGTTGTGTGTCCGAAACTAAGATCAATGACCCTAACGGGGTTATTGATTTGACTGCACCCGGTTTATCCTCTCGTTATTGGTTGTACGCATCCGGAGACGGCGATGCAGCACTCACAGGTCAAGCTGGTGTAGGTATCGTTCTCAGCTCCAAGGCTGAGCCATCGTTGGTCAATTAGATTCTGATGAACAGCCGTTTATATGCAGCCCGTTTGACGCCATCAGCTAAGGTTGATTCACGAAGTAATACCAAACGCTGTTTGTTTGTGATTTCCGTTTGTGCTTCCACCGACTGCAGTTCAGATGTTGTCAAGGTCACATTCTATGACGAGCTGAACGCGCTACTACGCAGTGCTACTAGTTCAGATATTATAGTACTTGCAGGGGATATGAACGCACAAGTAGGGCGTCTGAGCTCTTTAGAAGCTCAGCTGGGTGGTAATTATGGGCTTAACTCCGAACAGACTGCCAACGGGGAGCGTCTCCTGCAGCTATCTGCGGAGCACCAGTTGTTTGTTAGTAGTACTGCTTTCAGACACAGTGGGTGCCGAAGTGCCACTTAGCGTCCTCCTGTAGTTGACCAGCGATGAACCCAAATTGACCACATAGCCATAAATTACAGATTGCGTGGTTCCATCCTGGATTGTCGCTCATACTGGAATACCTGCGTCGACTCTGACCATGCTCTGGTACGCTGTCGTTTCTCCATGAACTTTACCTGGAGACACACCAAACCTCTCCTTCGATTGGCAACTGCGAAATTGCCTCAGCCCTCGCTCAGGCAAGCTTATCAAGACGCACGCGTACCGAGCTTTCGCTCCCTCGTCTTAATGATACAGGGTTTTAGTGGAATAGGATCTCGGCCACTATGGACAACGCAGGAACATCTTCTCGTGGTACTATCCATTGTCACCGCAGCAGTCACTGGATATCCGAGAGGTCGGTGAACCTGTTGGAAACTAGAAGACACCTCCCGACTGGCTCTGAACACAATGTGACCAGACGGGCTATTAGACGCGAACTAAAGCGGAGACTGCTTGCTGACAAGGAAGCCTGGTGGACCAGTCGGACTCAAGAAATGGAGGAGACAGGAGCAGAAGGCATTTACCGCAAGCTCTTCCAGCTAATCCGCACCACTGGTCCCAGGAAACCAGTCATCAGTGAGACAGTCAGAGACAGCGCGGGTGCGCTGATATACAATAAGGAGCGGCGTATGGCTCGTTGGTCGAAACACTTTCAAGATCAGTTCAGCTGGCCCCCTGCTCCCGGACCTCTTTTTACTCAGGTGATGCAGGACGAGCTGTGGACGGTTAGTTTAGAGCCTCCGTCGGAGGCCGAGGTCCGAAACGCGATCACAGCCCTCAGCCGTTTTCGTGCCGCTGGCCCGGATTCACTGCCGCCTGCACTATTTAAGGATGGAGGTGAGGTCCTCTGCAAAGCACTGACCTCCCTATTCGTACGTATCTGGAAGGCAGTGTTCAAGCTTGTTGAAACGAATCTATTATAGTGGCAATATACAAGAAGGACAGTCGCTCAGACTGTTCTAACCACAGGGTTATTGGCCTAATGCTAGTTGTGACAAAGTTACTGACCTCGATTATCGTTCGTCGCCTCATTGCAGGACGGGAATCTCGGATTAGGGAAGATCCGGCAGGTTTCCGCTTAAGGAATGGCTGCATAGACCATATATTCACTTTGCGGTAGGTGCTAGAGCAGCGCACGCATACCGCAGTTCGACAATAGCTGTGTTCCTTGATTTCAGGAGTGCACTCGATTTGGTTGAGCAATCGATTCTGTTCGAATTAATTGCGCGGAAAGGTGTTCCCACGAAATATGTGAACATCCTTCGTGCTGTATACTCGAACACTACGGGCCGCATCAGGGTCTACGGTGTGCTATCAAGTAGCTTTCCGACCATAGGTGGCGTTCGTCAGGGTTGTCCGATTTCCCCATGTTTGTTCAATTTCGTTGTGGATTCTATCATGGAGTGGTACCTTGCGGAATCTCACGATGTAGGCGTCGAAGTGCTGCCTGATGAAAGGTCACTTTACTTAGATTTTGCGCACGATGTCGTCTTGCTTTTCGACCATGTTGCAACAACACAATCAACCCTGAACAGCCTGTCTAGAGTAGTCCCATTATTTGGTATGCACTTCCCACCTTCATAGTACAAAGTGTTGCTACAGGACCACCAGCCACTTTATAACCCCTTGACGTTTGCTAACGAGGAACTCGAGGTGGTTGATCAATTCGCTTATCTTGGCAGCTGCATCAGCAACGATGGGCGCACAGAAACTGACGTCAGCTCACGTATTGCAAAAGCCAGAGCTGCCTTCTTGAACGTGCGGTATCTTTGCAACAGAAGGTAATTTCCCTCCGTCTGAAAGGCCGTGTATACAAGTCCTCAGTGAGCCGCCCTGCTCTGTAGTAGTGAGACTGGGCCGCTTCGGTCTGAAGATCTGAGGCGCCTTCAAGTTTTTGATCATCGTTGTCTGCGAAGCATTGCTGGAGTCGGATGACACCAGCGTGTCCGCAACGATGATGTGCGCTAGGCGAGTACTAGGAAGTGATAATCATGCTAGCTCCCTAGAACAACAGATAGCACTGACTAAGTTTCGTTGACTCGGGCACGTGCTACGTATGGCTGGTCACCGCTTACCTAGGGGGACCTTGTTTAGTCTGGCAGGTGCAGGGTGGCGCAGAGCTGGAGGTGGACATAAGTTGACTTGGCAGCGTGAAATGAGGTCACTGACGACCAAATTGGTTGCCGTTGGTCCGTCTCACCTTCCCAGTTAGAGTCAACGTGAGTCGCCTTGTGTTTGGTTTGAGACGTTACAAGACATGGTTCGCAGTAGACACCAGTAGCGCGTCTGGTGCCGTCTCGTAATCGGATTGCCTGTTTAAGGTGTGTTTGATGCTGAGTTATCTGCATGGTAATGGCTGATTATGGTGCGGAGCAGTGAAAGCCGCAAGGAAGCTGTCTCGCCGATGCCGCTTTATCTTTGCGCGATAGCCATCTGTTTGTGGCGGTATTTTGTTAACACGGGGTCTAGACGCATGGACCCTGAATGTTTGCTTAGGGCATTTAGTTTTCAGGTAAGTGCTTCTTCTCTCCCTGTTCTTAACCTTTGTTCCAAAAGTCCTCTTGGTTGTATGACAGCGGAGCATCAGTTCAAGTGGCTGATGTACTGCTGTTGATGATGATGTATAACAAACTGGGAGGATAATCGCATTACTAGGCAAAGTGTGCTTTCAAGCTCTGCGATTTCATCACACTTAAGTCCCGGTCACTGATGGTAGGTAACTGGTTTGATGTTTACTTTACAGTACATTTCGTGGACAAACCGGCTATCGAGCACACCTCGGTAAGAAAAATCACATCTGTCGATGCATCGCTCATTTCCGCGATGCAACAACGCATTGGTGATGTCATCTCAATCGGTTTGCAATACAATTTCCAAACTTAGTGTGCGATTCGACTGTCAGTCGACAAACCTGAGCTATCATTGTTTGTCTAACAAACGTCTTCAACCTGCCTACACTGGATAGCCAACGGAGCGGTGTGGGTGTCTACAAGCACCCTCATTGGAACTTATACTCCTCATGCATGATCCACTAGGGTTACCCTGTCCCCCCTTTGGTTTCATCTTTGGGAATGAAGTGACTGTGAATATGCTGGTTCCCAATTTTCAAATCAGAGAAGTGGACACTGATCACATTATCGACTTTAGTCGACAGATTTTTTCGGTTGTCATCCCTAATTTTTCTTCTGTACGGTGCCTCTGAGATCAGCTGTCGGTACAGGGAGAAGCTGTTGCAAAACTTGATTCGCTTTGGCCTTTATCATTTCTTTGGATGGAACAATCGGATCGACCACGTCCCATTTATAAAGCCATTCCATGGTGTTCGGGCCTTTAATCTACGTCTTTTATGCTTCGAGTTCGCGACCACTTTCCCACAGGGCTTGGGCGCCCCCGCTGTGTCCCAGTTCACCTGTAGTCACTTATAGTAGAATAGCAGCGAAGCATCAATACAAAGCACCGTTACCACTTTTTATAACCGCTCCATACGATGAAGGGAATGCGTTTTAACCAGTTTTCTATAGGCTTTTTGTTATTTTTTCGCTGACAGTACGGATAAACGGTACAACTACTTTGGTTACGATCTAGCCACTTTTCAAATCAGAAGGTCGGGAAAAACTTGTATGAAACACTTGGAAAAACAGTACAGCCAAAATATAGGGTCAAAATAAATAGTTCTTGAAATAATGACCAAATTGCAATCTCCCGAATTCTAGCAACTATTAGATGCGTGAAAATTCGCCTGTTATCTGTTCAAGTAATGCGCTCACTGGAGGGCTTCAAGAAAGGTCATTGTCACTCACATTGGCTCACCCTAATTGGCCAGCCAATCAGCTCCATGATGCATGCCACCAATCTCTAGGCCACTTGAAAAAGAACTGGTTGCGAGAGCTGATATCAATTGGCTTCCTTAACACTTTTGTTTAGTATTTCTTCCTTTTGCTTTATTTTCGCTTGCTTTAGTTGTTATTGCGTTACGAATCACTAAGATCGTGTCCTCCGCACTTAATTACTGGGCTTTAAGTCGATATGATGAATGATCATTGCTATTTCAGAAATACTAAGCCGAACAGCGAATGTGGTGGTCCTGCGACAGCAAAGCGCTGTTACGGCGCACAGCGGACACATCAATTAAGTTTATTTTACTAGGTAGTCTGCATACACAGTACCTCGCTCGTTTGATCTAACTGGAAGTCCCTTCCTCCCAAGTTTACTTGACCGACACCCTCCGCGCTACATTTTCTGGACGACCCAAACTCATTGGGTACCCATCATTTTCTGGGATAAGCTCATCTGTCTTTGGAACTCTCATCGTCCTGCTTGGCATCTTTTCTGTCCAGTTTACCTTGATCCTCTTCGATCCACATTGTTCAGTACGCTTCAGTTACAGTGCAAAAAATTCTATCGTGTTGCTTTGAGTACAGAGTTCTCTAATTTGGGATAATTATGTTTCCAAACTTTAGTAATCCTCTACAAATATTTCACGTCCTTATTAGTTACTCGGCTTTCATCCTCACCACTCACTATTTTCGCCCCCCAGACGGAAATCATGCGCTATTGCCCTCTTAGTCGTCGCCAACAGCTCCTTTACGCTCGGCTGAGGAACAAGATTCGCTTGGAAGATCTTAGCTCGGTCATTGGATCCAGCGGCTCTTCTGGGGTCAGCTCCACACATGGACTTCTCTCCGAGAACACGGGCGCATCAGCCACCGCTCATCTCATTAATTTGGTCATGCAATTACGCAAAGTTTGCAACCATCCGGATTTGTGGGAACGCCGTGAGACGCGTTTCTCGTGCATTACGGGGTGCTTTGATCTTTCTCCAGAATCTGCATTACTTTCTCATAGCCATCCTGCGGGTTTTCACGGTGTATGGAGTCTTCCTAGGCTGTTCTACAATTGTGGTACGTTGCTTACATTTTTTGGAACCATAATCGCATGCGTCGACCCGTTGTCACCTCAATGCGTTGACCACGTAGCACAGCCACTTGCACGTCTGTTTTGCGTTCTACATATTTATCTATGTTTTTTATATTTATTCATTTTGCGTTTTTTGGAACGAAAAATCAATCAACCTTTGATGCACTATCTGCACGTTGTTATCCGAGGCTCCTAGCCTAGACTAGGTCTTCTTAACGAATAAAAGGTATTTCTCTATTTGTTTTGTTCAATGCTGTTATTCTGCTGCATATTTCGTCTTAGTTTTGCGCATATATTTTCCTTGGTTGTTTGATTTCCCCTTTGTGGCTGCACTTGATGTAAATATTGAGTGTCTACCTGTCTAACACCCTCCACCTCGATTGCTAGTTCCAGAAGACCAATGTTGCTGGGCGGTAGGGGGTGCACGGTCCTCGTGGCCGTGCTAGGCTCAAAGTGTGGTTCATTGTATCCAGTGGGAAGTGGACTACGGTTCAGCCACCGCATTTTGTGCGTATGGTACGCATGATTCCCCATTTAGATAAACAAGAGTGCTGATGCTGCTGTGCATGTTAAAGGAGTGTGGGCAGGCTCCGTTGGTGAAACCTGGCTCCCATCTACATGCCTCCCGGTCTTACTCCTTCGGGTTTACATTGGATATGGGATGTGTGGGTGGTTCAACGCAACCCACCAATGATCCCTCTGTAGGCGCCCTGCAACTGTCCTATGGAGGCCACAGTGACAGGCAAATCCGGAACCGGATGCCGCCAACCAAATAAAATCTTCATAACATTGTGTATAAATGGGGCATCAGAACCATGCCATAAATGGAGGACAATCGTGGAATGAAGGGAACAGTTTTTGTAGTTTATACACGCCGTTTTAGTTATTTTATGTTTTTCGGTTGAGCATCAACTTTTAGACGACGATACGGCATACCAACAATGACGCCCTTTATTTGTGTTACAGGCCATAAATTGTAACGTTTGCAACCGCTGGGAGTCCACGTTTCGTGGTTCTCAACCTGGGAAGCGGACTGGACCGACATGACAGACCGTCGCAGCGAGATTGGACCTTAACGTGTTGCGACAGTTTACGTACCTCTTTGACCCATTGAGCTATACTGGGTGGTGCTTCCGGGCCACTTGAGAACTATTCCTACCAAGTTAGTCAATGGTGAGGTCAGACAAACTCATTCTCCTGATCCTCCAGGTTAGGGGTTTTAAATGGGATGGCGACCATTTCTGTACAACTAAATCATTGCCACCTCCCCGCTGCCTTGCGGACAGGGTTTTGAGCCAAAGGCTTTAGTTGAGGACCCTGCTTGTCCACCTGTCTAGTTGTGGGCGCCCTGGCAGTATCTCAGCCCACATACAACCATGACAATTTCTCCAGACTCTAACTACAGTTTGCACCGCCCGTCGCGCAGATTAACAAGCATCGCCTTATCTGCTGCCTGTCTAGAGTAGTCCCATTATTTGGTATTCACTTCGCACCTTCAAAGTCCAAAGCGTTGTTGCAGGACCACCGGACACTTGATGACCCCTTGATCCTTGCTAACGAGGAACTCGAGGTGGTTGATCAATTCCCTTATCTTGGCAACTGCATCAGCAACGATGGGCGCACAGAAACTGACGTCAGCTCACGTATTGCAAAAGCCAGAGCTACCTTCTTGAACCTACGACATCTTTGCAACAGAAGATAATTTCCCTCCGTCTGAAAGGCCGTGTATACAAGGCCACAGTGAGCCGCCCTGCTCTATGGTAGTGAGAGTTGGCCCCTCCGGTCAGAAGATCTGAGGCGCTTTCAAGTCTTTGATCATCGTTGTCTTCGAAGCATTGCTGTAGTCGAATGGCCCCGGCGTGTCCGCAACGATGGTGTGCTTAGGCGAGTACTAGGTTGTGATAATCATGCTACCTCCATAGAACAACAGCTAGCACTGAATAAGTTTCGTTGACTCGGGCACGTGCTACGTATGGCTGGTCACCGCTTACCTAGGAGGGCCTTGTTTAGTCTGCCAGGTGTAGGGTGGCACAAAGCTGGAGGTGGACAGAAGTTGACTTGGCAGCGTGAAATGAGGTCACTGACGACCAAACTGGTTGCCGTTGGTCCGTCTCGCATTCCCAGTTGGAGTCCACGTGACTCTCCTTGTGTTTGGTTTGAGACGTTACAAGACATGGCTCGCAGTAGACACCAGTAGCGCGTCTGGTGCCGTCTCGTAATCGGATTGCCTGTTTAAAGTGTGTTTGATGCTGAGTTATCTGCGTGGTAATGGCTGATTATGGTGCGGAGCAGTGAAAGCCGCAAGGAAGCTGTCTCGCCGATGCCGCTTTATCTTTGCACGATAGCCATCTGTTTGTGGCGGTATTTTGTTAACACAGGGTCTAGACGCGTGGACCCTGAATGTTTGCTTAGGGCATTAAGTTTTCAGGTAAGTGCTTCTTCTCTCCCTGTTCTTAACCTTTGTTCCAAAAGTCCTCTTGGTTGTATGACAGCGGAGCATCAGTTCAAGTGGCTGATGTACTGCGGTTGATGGTAAGTGCGAGGTCACCTTCCCATGTTTTTTCTACTTCATTTGTTTTCCACCACGCCACCTTTTCTACTCGCTTCCTGGAAGCACTAATAACACTTGACTTTCTCGGCGATGGGCTGTCGTGCACAATGCGTCCAGGTTGTGTCTTGACGTTTTCGCAACTGAGACTCTTGGCTCCACCCACCCTGATGTGCGTGATGTTTCCACCAAACGCAAACATTCCTTCGCAGACAATGCTTGTCGAAGGCTGACAACTGTTTCATGTCTCAGTTTTACGACGGGACAGTACGGACGGAAGTACTGTACACCCTGTCTTTTAGCTTAGCTTGATGCCGACATCGCGATGGTGCCATAAGTGTCTCGGTCCTGTAAAAGCAAAACGAGCCCTTGAGATCCGTTACTAGTCCCCCGCTTTTAACCGGGTTGCAGTTACCTAATTAAGTGAAACAATCTACTTGTTTCATTCTCTCACCAGTAATGGTGAGAGCAGTCACAAACGCCTGCTGATCATTGAGTAGGGCTTCATATTTTGCTTGGAGGAAGCACATGCCGTGTTTGGATACGTCTATCGCTAAGCGGTTTAAAGTGTTTTGGATTGTTTTTGGATCGTCCCCAACCAAAGCGGTATCATCGGTATAATCCAGGTCCACTATCTTATCTTCAGTGAGAGGCTCAACGCCGCAGTTTTGCATACCCACTGCATGTTGGACAACATCTTCGGTGGGGAAATTCATAAGTAACGGGGAAATAGAGGACTATTAGCGAACGCTGCTGATGACAGTAAACGAAAAATAAAACCTCCCATAAGCCCTAACTTTGTCCGATGTGTAACTGCACATTTGTTTCAGGAGGGTTACATGCTTGTCGGACACGCCTATCCTTAGTAAACAATTTCACAAAGCAAACCTAACCACTGGGTCAAATGCCGCTGGGATGTCTTAGCACACTACGGTTGTAGACGGCTTGTGGACGTGACAAATTTTGTGGAGTTGACGGAGTGTGAAAATTTGATCGGTGCAACCTCGGCGTAGATGAATACCGCTTTGTTCCTTTTTGGAAAATTCTCTAGCCACCGAAAGCCTACAAAGGAGGATGGGACACGACGCTACAGCGCTCAACGAGATTCCGCGGCAACTGGCTTAAGCTCCGGGGGAGCTTTTCTAGTATATCGGGACAATAACTGACTCTTCCCATGAGGTTTTAATCTTCTTATCAGTCCAAATCTTTATGAGCAACGATAGGATTTCCTCAACAAGCACCTGTTCGCGATTTTTTACTACAGCCCGTCGGAGGCTGTCAAGACCGAGACTTGTATGGCGTTTCAATGCTTGAATTGTGCTGCGGATCTCTACCTCTGTATGAGGGTCTGTAGTGGTAGTTCAACAACCATCCGATGAAAGTGGAGGTGTCATAGAACTCTGCGCTGAGTCATTGCAAATGGTACATTTCTTGACTGTACTAAATACTGTCCAACAATGTGGTTGGATCAGTTAGTACAACAGGGTTGCAAAGCATAAACATTTGTTCTAATTTACAAAACATTTCCCAAATAAGTTTTGGGGTATCCGATCAGTTAAATATGCTATAAAGGAGCAAAAGTTAGTCTCAAAATAAAAATGGTTATTGCAAAAATTTCAAGCGAAGTAATACCGCTATACGTGGAACCGTTTTCTGGAGACCTGTTTCCATGTGAGGTAGTTCCTCGAAAGGTTTCATCCATCTGGCCTTTTGCCGGTGTGGCATAAGAGCAAGTAAGCCCTTCTCGTATTAGCTCTTTTTTAGGGCCGCTGTTATATATGATGAGCAATAGGCTCTGAAAGAGCAACAAGCTCTCTGATTTTCTCTTTTTATACTCTTTTAAGCCATTCAGTCTTCTTCAGCTTCAGACTGTTTCGTGTCTTACACTTTTGATACTCTCCACTAGGTCTGTGACAATTCGCCCCGCGTGACCAGTAATTACTCCGGATGCTTCACTCCATCGCTTCTGGAGGTCGGCCCACTCGTGGCTAACAGTGCTAAGAGAGAAATGTAGAGAAATACTAATACTGATGATTAGTACATATCTGACGATTTCTGCTTAACTTTGCACATTTTACTTACAGAAAAAAGAGTTCCCTAGAGGATTTTGACATATATTTAACTATTCCGGGCAACCGAATAGTATTGTAATTGATATCGAAAATTGTCTTCGCGAAACATTGAAAACTGCTACGGGTACTCGAATTGTTCCTCCGGGAAAGATGAGCTAACAGTTAGCAGTGAAGAACAAAAGTAAATAGGGAAAGGAACTGTCAACTCGGCATAACGGAACAAACGATGATCTTATTTTGGAACTGGTAGTGACTAGAATTGAACGAAACGAACAGGATACGGTTCAGACAGTGTGCACACATGATCATGCGATGTTGTCAATGTGTGCCTATGTTGTGCGATCGTGAAACCTGGACCATTAAATCAGCCGACATAAAGAGGCCAGTTACGCTCGACCACCGGTGCCTTCGCAGTTTGACTCTTGGCTGGTGGAAACACCGCGTGAGCAATGACCGTATTCGATGTCTTGTTTACTGCACAGGAAGAGGAAGTGAACCGCTTATCACCGTTATTTCACACACCAGACTGATGGCTAGGTCACGTGCTGCGCATGCCAGCACATGGACTCCCGCGACGTGCGTTTTTTGCGCGCCGTGGGTGTGGATGGGAGAAAAGGAGGGCAGGCCAAGCGATGACTTGATCAACAGCAATGAAGGCGCTTATTACGAACTTCACCTCCGTTGGAGCGTCTCGGCTCTCTGTTCGCGGGGCCCGATAGACGATGAACACGTTTGGCTAGGTACACTTGTTGATATGGCAAATAGCCGACCTCATTGGCGTTTGTGTTGTGAGTTTCTTTGTCAGATAGTTCTACACATGCCCGGAAAGCACTAGACTGAAGTTTCATCCTGCTGGATATCACCATTGGTGTGCACCCATCGGATCCATCAGGATTTAAGCCCAAGATTACCATTGACTTGTACCATTCGTCATTAGTTTGTGCCACTGAGAAGGGGGGGGGGAGAACGCGGGTTACCGTTATAATTTACAAGCTGACTGATGTTGTGCGTCGTATCCTCCACTGCCATGCAAATTACGAACGTTGCAGAGGGCGGGGTTGGCTTCGAAGAACGACATCCATGAAAGTATCTATCTTCGAAATAATGTTTTCCCGTTTAAGAAATGACCAGCAGTACGTAAAATATGCTCAAACAATATTATTTTTTGCGCTTTGAATTAGTTTAAATATCTTCGTGTAGTGTATGTCTGCATAGATCGCCCTTTTATATATCCTTTTGCTATCCGACACCAGCAGTATTACGTACTCATCGGTGATCACGGACCCTAAGGTGTCCTTTCTCCTGAGATCAAAAAAGGTAGACTGCCATAGAGTAGGATGTCCTTCACCTTTACCTATACATACTGATTTTCAGAACGATAGAGATCCCCTTATGGCATCATCTGTGTCGCAGGTTCAAGATTGAGTTAACACTGCAGTCATGTACTCATCACTCCTGATGCCGCTAACAGAATTGGTCAGCACCTTCAATTCCCGTCATCAGCAACAAGGAGTGTATCATATGAGTTGTCTGTCAAGCTGCTTCATTTTGTGAAAGCGCCAGGCGCATTTCGAGGGACAGACTACGTTTGTGAACACATTCATGGATGACTAAGTCTTACGATTGTTTAGCACTAAACTATACCATCCGCATAACTCAGCCTAACCAATTTTCGCTAGGCAATAATGTCTGTATCGTTAGACTCCACCTTCGAGTTTGAGGCGAAATCCGCGATAAAGTTTTGCTGTGTAACTGGAGTACCCAATCGGGATGAACAAATGATTCCGATGAACGAATCAAGCATCCAATTGGAAGCGAACCTGGTAGATTAATTTACTGGATGAAGCAGAGGTAGTCCGTATATTCAGCTCCGCTGCTTGATGGACGTCTGGCGGCATTGCTATGAGTTTCTCTGTTGTTTGTTTGACCGGACCAGGGGAGGGACCTCTTAGGCCGAAGGCATAGTTAACAACGTGAGTTGAAGAGATTCTTTCCACAGATTTTTTCCGTTGAATAAGCCGTTTGCCCCTGGAATACTGACTTACGGCAAAATGAAGCAACTTTGATTAACGCCAATTGTCGGATGGTTGCTCGACCTTTAACTGTAGACCTCGACACGTAATTTTATTTATGTCAGGGTACGTGTTATTCCCAAATTTGATGAGCACACCTTTTTGAGCAATTATATCGATCACCCACACTTGGGCTTCATCCTACCCGGAGATTACGGACAAGCAGTTCATTGTTACAGAGGACAGCAGACCCACGCGCTCATCGTGTACCACTCGGACCTATCTTCACGAAAGCTTTTCATGGACGATATGCCCTTCAGCGTAACACTAAATTGAACTATCATGGCTGTGCTATTCGTGCTGCTCACCACAGGCACTTGTATGCATCACGAGAGAACAACGATTTTAACCACTGGAGAATCGGGCGACTTCCGAAACCAGGTCTCGAGGCAACAGTGTATGCGTCCCGTTAATTGGTGAGGTCATACGTAGCCAATCTGTCCTCTGTAGTGCGTGCTACACCCCTTTATAGATTTTGGCTTGATTTTACCCACTCGCTAGATATGTAGCGTCCACGTGCCATCTGCTGCATGGGAGCTTGATTCCGGCTGCTTGCTAGTCTTCCGACGACTCGTGTTTTTCTTTCACATTTCCATTCTGACTCCCTGTACTCTTCGTCAAAAAGCCCTTGCACGGAGACCGTCTGTAATAAGATCAAAACCTTTGTATTAGGAAGACAACGACGGCGATAGCAGCGCCCGATCACCACTATGCTTGTGCCTTCACACTTTACTGAACTGTGCGAGAGTTACTCGTTAGGATACACTTGGAAGCACCGCTTGTATGATGCTCACCCCTATCTGAACTCTTTCTAATTTTCATTATTTCCTCTTAATTCGCCATTTCCTCTGACGTTCTTCTGTTACGCTGTTGCTCTGACACTGCACAAAGCATCGTCCTTTGGATCATCGATGTTTTTATTTTACCTAAATTTGATACCAATTTGATACTAGCTGTTTCACAGCATCGTTACTGTTCATCCCCACAATTGCTTCCCTATTATTTCCCCCTTACTCTCTGCAGGTTTGGTGGCGCCGTTTTGCTGCACCAATTCGTACTCATTCTCTGACTCAATGCTCGGGCCGTTCACTACCCGATGGCCATTCATGCAGCAGCCTTACTTGCTGTCCGAAAAAATCGCGATGATTATCCGTCTTTTTGCGATCTTTCATCCATCTTACATACAAGAGGATTTATGGCACCGTGATGCCATCGAAACTGAAATTGAGTCACCAACCAAAGACTCCGCGAATCACGTGATGAAATGTGAGTTGGGCTTCATTGATTTACCTTGCGGGTTATGTACTTCGTTGTACCCCGTTGTTTGCTTTCCACTCTGCGACCTCATATTCTTCTTGTAATACACGGTACCAAACGCTTGTTGCGCGCTTGCTTCTATACTACCGGCTATTGATCTGTCAGCCGTAGCTATTTATTGGTGATTTTGATTCATCATCCATGGGACTCACCTAACTTTCGCTTGCGTTGAGTTTTCCTTTGGTGTACAGTTGTACTTGCCATTTACCCGAATAACCGCCTTACTACATAGCCATATTTTCCGACTTCATCTTGGCATAGCATCTTGCCTGGGGCGTTGTTTTGCTGTGGAATGTGGTACTACCCATTTCAGAGCTCGTGAACACAGCAGCACACATTTCTCGCTTCACTGTGTCCTACTTGCTTAGACGCTACCTCATTCACCGCATCACTTTTATAACATGTCCCTAAGGCTGTTATCTCCTATTTGTTTATTCCCCCACCCCCGCCTCTCTTCGCCAGCGCACCTGCTCTCTCCCACCCTCTGTCCCGTACCTACCAATCAGAGTCCTTTTCGCCGTTTATTCTTTCACTAAAGACAACAGTACACCAGTGATAAAAAGTGGGGCTTCACTGCCATGTAACCATCTGATCTCCATAGTCTCTGTCACCCTTCATAAATTGACTGGCATCCGTGCAAGCCGAATTCATGAGTATCAAGCCAGTTTTTGTCGAGGTCGGGGCAGCATCAATCACAACTTCACTTTACCACAATTGTTGGAGCACCGTCACATATATTGGCAGCCAACCGTTTGCGTGTCCTTCGACATCAAAGGTCCCTTCGATTCTGTGAATCGACGTGCCCTTTGGTACTGTCTGTTAGGGAGAGGCGTGCCCAAGAAATATGTAACTATTATCCGGACGCTTTGCGCGCGTAACTCGGGTAGAGTGAAATCTTCGGTAAGCTGTTGTTGCCCTTTAGTATTTCCAGCGGTGTAAGACAAGCATGCCGGTTGTTACCTTTCCTCTTCAACTTCGCTGTTGCTCAAGTCATGGATATCGTGTTCACTGGACACGACTTAAAATGTGTTGAGCTGCTCCCAAGTGAACGTCTTCTTGACTTGGCATATGCTGACAATATTGTCCTCTTCTGTGGTAGCTCACAAACCTGCGAAGCTGTACTGGACATAATAGCACTGGCTTTCAGCCCTTTCGGGTTTTGTTTTGTACTCTCGAAGTGTAAAGCTTTCCTCCAATATTCGGAGCGACCGCTTCCTGCGCTGGCCCTTGGTGGGAATCAGCTAGAAGTTCAGAAAATCAATTACCTAGACAGTTGTTTCAGTGCCTGTGGAATCGAAGAAGAAGTTATGAACTGCATAGCAAAAGCCCGAGGCACTTTTGCCAATTTTCGCCACCTGTGGCGCCCAAGCCTCATCACTCCCTGAAGGGTAAGGTGTAAAGTGCAGCTTTACATTTGACCCTGTTGTACGGTTGTGGGACCTGGTCCATTAGCTTGGCAGACATAAACAGGCTAGTTACGTTCGACCACCGGTGCCTTCGTAGTTCGGCTCATATCTGATGTGAATACCATGTGAACAATATGCGTGTTGAACGCCTAGTTTACTTCACTGGAAGAGGAAGTGAACCGTTCAGCACCGTTATTTCACACACCAGGCTCTGATGGCTGGGCCAGGCGTTGCGCATGCTAACCAATCGACTCTCGCGACCTACGTTATTTGGTCGCCGGAGGTGGGAATGGAAGAAAAGGAGGCGAAGCCAAGTGTTGATTTTGTTAAGAGGAATACAAAGCTGGCATCAGCTGGTGTTTCCCCGGTCGGGGCCCGCAGGGCGATGTACCTATCTGGTTGGATGCGCTAGTTGACATGGCGAAGAGTCGAACTTAATGGCGTTAAATTAGTGAGCTTCTTCGTCCCTTCTCCTCATCTTCAGCGTCCCACTCCAACTACGATCTCATTTCGGATGTGTTATGACTTTCTTACGGCAAATAGCCGTTCTCCGAAACCATGTCCATCTGCCACTGATTACTCAGCTGGCGTGCCTCCGTTGTGTCTTCTTTCCTTTCCCTTGTATTGCGGCACAGTGACTCAGTTGTTTCCCACATGTAGCTAACGTGTATAGTAATAATAATGGCAGTGATACCATACAACGTTGGTGACTAACGTAATGCGAACTAATGGGCGTTGAAGAAAAAGGATCTAGTGTGGAGCCTACACCTTGCCAACAACACACGACCACAAATGGATGGCATCGCTGCAGCATAGAGCACTGTTGACTAGACATCCTTCAACTGACTCATTGTGCAGTCGTTTTTCCATTTTTCCACACTACCAAAACTTGCGATGTGTTACGACTACCATTTGAGTTGAGATAGTTAATGAAACTGAAAGTCCTTGAGTTGTCCTACCTATTTATCATTACAGTCACTCTGTTTTTTACAGGCTTCTCTTTCGCTCGACTCATGGGGCTGTCTCCGTGTGAGATGGCAATGGCCGTTTCCAGTTTTGGTACGTTTCTTCTCTCAGATACAAGTAGGAGACGTGTCAACGAACTGGTAGCCCTCGCCCACCTACTACGCGATACGCCTCCACATTTGAGTGATTCCGACGCGTCCGCGATGCATTCCGGTAGCCCGAAGTTGTCTCCGTCCACTGGATCACCTTTGCTTCTATTCCCCTTGTTTCCTGCCAGCGCCGAGTACCTTTGCCCAGCGTTGATTTCCACACGCGTTAACATGTCTCAGTTTTGGCTGTGGGATCGTCAGCTACGTTCTGATTTGTTAGTACCCCGCAATCAAGCCGGCGAATGGACACCACTGACGACTGGTCATCGCGAGTCAATGGCTGTTGTTGTATCTCGTGGTTCGTTGCTGGTGCCAACTATTCTCGTCCCCAAGGTTTGTTTTTCAACCACGCACCAATTTCTAATCCTCATCTTATTAAACGCGGTTACAACGTTTTGTCCACTGAAATATGGCGGCCCATCCACTCTTGCTTCTGGCTAGCAGACAGAGCAGGTTCCCTACTTTCTCCTGAGCTCTCTCGCCGTTTTTATTCGCCGTCATTGTTTTCCGCTTTCCGTTGGTTGGCACTTGATGGCTTTTGTGCAGTATACGCCCATTTCATCGCTGATCTACTAATGTGAGCCTAAATATTATCTCACATTGCTTGCTCTTCCATGAGCTCATTGTATTCGTAATCAGACGCCTTTGGCTGTTTGGGTAATAGTTCATATTTATGCGTCATGACTCACTGTTTTGATAAAATTATGCAAGCAGAAGAACAGTACGGATTTACATGGCAAAGCAGGGGGCTAGCTTGCCGCAAGCGAACAAAGCAGATGATTGGACGCCTACGCATCTTCGCTTATACGCTGATCAATTCGTATTTGGCGGCGCTGGAGTGAGTTTGTTTGACTGATTTAAGGGAAGAACCTCATTTAAGTGACCTAGGCTTCTACAACCTAATCATGCTGCCATTTTTACTGAGCCTGCTTTGTTGAATGAAACGAGTTTTCCGACAGTGTCAGAGAAGACCAAGGACAGATCGCCGAACGGTGCTCAGTTGCTGCTTGGAGCGCAGCCAGCCGTACAAACACTTGCCTCGTTGAACATGGAAGACCACAACTTGACCAGTAATCGAAGAATTTGGAAAAATAGGTGAACCGATTTCTGCGTACTAGTTTTTCTGTATGAACAATTGATGGCGTATCGCCTGGAAACGTTTCTACATACGATCAAAGATGAAGCACGCTAAGTCCTAGAAATGATGCAATACGAAAAGGACGAAGACTCAGCTGATTTGGGAACAGTCATCCGAAAGTTCGGCGACTTCTGTGTGGGCCAGACTAAAGGAGCGTATCAGCGGTATCATATTTTTACTCCAAACATGCGCCCGAATGAATGTGTCGTGAACTGTGTTACGGAGCTGAAGATCCTGGCTCATTCCTATAATTTTTGCAATTTTATGACCGGCAGCTTCATGCGACATAGAATCGTGTCGGGGATCAATGATGAAAACATCACCAAACGGCTGTCGCGGCAAAGCTATTTATCGCTCAGGCAATGTCTTGCTTCATTGAATCATCAGCTACACACCACATCCAGCAAATACGGTTGCCGACTGAAGCAGAGCTATGTGCCGTATCCAGCTTGCCTGGAAAAGCTGCGAACCTTGTTACCAAGACACAAGAAACTTGCAAATTCTGCGCCGCGCAACACCTGATGGATCCTGATCAATATCCGGCGTGGGATCGAATTCGCCCCAAATGTGGCAAACGAAATCATTTCGCTCGATGTTACTAGTCTTCCAAAGTGAATGCACTCCATCGTGACACAACATCTTCCCATTCTGAACATTCAATCAGCAACATGTCACAGATCGGACCGGAGAAGTGCGTTTATGCACGTTTATTGGTTGGCAACGAAATGGTGTGCTTCCAGTTAGACACGGGTGCTACCGTCCACCTAACACCTACGAAGCGGTACCCAGAAATTCATATACGACCTGTTCAGGGATCCGTACGCATGTGGAACGGTTCCAAGCTCCAGTCGAATGGTTTGGCGACAATTCAAACGATCAATCCCAAAGACGGATCCTCACCTCAGTTGGACTCCGTGGTCCTGGAGGAAGATCTCACACCGATTATCGGCATCGATTCTATCCGGTGTCTGCTTTCTTCATTTTAACTGCGATCCTTTTGTGCATACGTGTCGAGCGGAGACCAATATCCGTCCATCTTTTTCACAGGTTTGGGAAGGTTTCAAGATTCCGTTCTTTTGTCACTAGATCCGTCAATACAACCGACTGCACTGCCGCCTAAACGGATTCCGTTTACTTTACGTGATATGATCGTCACCGAATTAAGTAACTTGACGCATTTGGGCGCAGTCGGTAAGGCCGCGGAGCCGACAGACTGTAAGTCAAGTTGCAATTGTTATGAAAAAACGGCGATTTGCTTATGTGCATGGTTGCCAAGCCATTGAATGATGCTTTACGCATAGAACACTGTACGCTCCCAACGTAAGAGGTCCTGCCGCGTTTGGCTAATGGAAAGTACTCCACCAAGCTTTTTGTATCATTGGCGTTCTAGCACGTGATCCTACACGAAGAATCCAGTCTTCTAACGGCGTTCAGTACACCCATCGGTCATTTTCTCTGACTGAGTTTGCCCTTTAGTTTGTAAATCCCAAGCGAAATCTTTAAAAGGCGGTCATCGCCATGGACCACTCAAAAGCGCAAGGGCCCACATAATCGAGTTCAGACGTCACCTGCTGATAAACAACTACCCAATCAGTTAAGCGCCTCTAGTTCTGCTCCCACAGGTTCATCACTGATTTCGCTGAGGCGTCATAATCTCATGGTCTTCCACGTACCGGAGTCAAAAGATGAAAACCCTCAGGTACGTTATGATCACGATGTTGAGTTCCTCCAGGGGCTCATCGATAGACTCTTGGATGTGGGCGAGGACAGTGTGACGATTAAACAAGTAATCCGACTTGGCCAGAAAACTAACCAGTCATGTCGACCTCTGAGGATCACCTTTGCATATCCTAATATGCCGCAGCTCATACTGTCTCGTCTGTCAAGGCTGAAAGGCATAAAAGTTCACATCCGCCGAGATTTGGAACCCGAGGACAGGGATCGTTTGAAGACTGCGGTCATTGAGCTCAAACGCCGTACAGAGGAAGGTGAGACTGACTTACAAGTTGTAAATTTTCGGGTGATCAAGAAGGGTGTACGAACCCGTATCAATCGGTTGCTCAACCTCCAGGCACGTCCCGCAGGACCTCCGTGTCGCATTCGCCAACGTGTGCAGCCTAATGAACAAGCGTGACGAATTGTGCCGTTTCGCTGTCTCGGAGCGGCCGGACATTTTAGGACTTGCAGAGACATGGCTGAACTCCGACGTCATACCCCAAGAAGTCGTGTTGTCAGGATACTCTTGTTTCCGATGTGACCGAAAATCAAAGGCTCATGGTGGTGTTCTGTTATACATAAAATCGTCACTATCTGGCAAACTTATCAGTACCTATCGGAGCGAGGATAGTTTATGCGAGCAATTGTGGTGCACAATCCGTCTCAGGCGCGCAGAACTAATTGTGGGGGTTATCTACCGGAGCCCATTAAACCGTTGCTGCGATTGGATACCACATGTACAGAAGCACATGAGCCGCCCTCAGTTCTTACTGATGGGGGATCTAAATTTACCTAAGATAATTTGGCCAGATGTTCGACTTCTTCCCGGTCATGGCAACGTTGAGGCTCAATTCGCTAAAATGACTATTGAAATTGGGGCAACGCAACATGTCATCCAACCGACGCGCGTAACTCCGTACTCGGCATCTTGTCTGGACCTAATGTTTACGAGCTGCGAGCAGAAGCTAAAAGAGATCAGAGTCATCGAACCTCTGGCGAACAGTGACCACTGCTCTATTGTAGCAAGCTTAGAACTGTCGTTACCATATTACAATCAACAGAAGCCGACATTCAACTATTGGAAGACGGACTTCAACGGACTCGTCCAAGCCGCAAGTCAGACTGATTGGACACTACCACATGATGCATCACTTGAGGCGTGGTGGTCATTAATAAAGGGGAAGCTTAACTCGCTCTGTACTCGGTTCGTTCCCCTTAAGTATCCAAAAATCGGACCTGTCAAACCGCATTGGTTTGATAGGGAATACAGACAGTTAGCGCGACGACGTCGTAAACTTTGGGATAGATACATCAGCTCGGGTTGTGATGAAGATTACGCGGTGTACAAGAAACAGCGTAACTTGTGTAACGCCGCAAAGATCAAGAAACGCCGGCAGTTCGAAGAGGAGCTAGCATCCTCGGCCGCAACTGCACCCAAGCGAATATTTGCCTATTTGAAACGTCAACTGAAACCTGGAGACGACCTACCGGTCTTAGAGAGCTTAGACGGGAAGACACTCATTTCAAGCGCGGAGCGCGCGGACGCCCTGGCTACGCACTTCCTCACTGTATTTTCCAGTAAACCGGCGGCTGTTCCAGTACCGGCACAGGTTGCGCAAGTCTTGCTCGACAGCCTACAATGTGATGCAGTCGAAGTACATCAGCTACTCGTCAACCTCAATGGTGCAAAGCCCCCCGGGCCAGACGGACTTCACCCACTAATACTCAAGTCCCTATCGATTATCATCTCACCAGTTGTGACAAACCTTTTCAATAGATCGCTCTCTGAAGGATCCGTCCCGAACGACTGGAAATGCTCGATAGTTAAACCGCTTCCCAAGGGTGGTGATCCGAGTAAAATAGAGAACTATAGACCGATCTGTTTGACTTCGGTATTATCCAAAGTTCTCGAGAAGGTTGTGAAAAAGTGTCTGCTGTCGTTCTTCGAATCGATGGACGTATTAACGCCAGCGCAACACGGCTTTACGAAAGGACGATCCTGCATCACCAACTTGATGTACGCAAACCACCAGTGGGTTCGAGCTCTCAATGAACTGAAGGATGTTGACGTGGTGTACATCGACTTTAGTAAGGCGTTTGACAGAGTGAACCACGATGTACTCCTTCGTAAACTGAGGACATACGGAATCGGTGGCACGTTACTTCAGTGGATACAAGAGTTTATTGTGGGACGAAGGTTTAGAGTACAGGTCAATGACTATCTGACAGAATGGTTCCCATCGACCAGTGGCGTGCCTCAAGGAACTGTACTTGGGCCAGCATTATTTCTTATTCATATCAACGATCTTCCGCAGCAGCTCCAGTCACCATGTGTCCTGTTTGCAGATGATTTGAAAATCTGGAGGATCATTGAAAACCAGGACGACTGCGCTCGCCTCCAGCATGACTTAGAGCGACTGTCAACGTGGTCCACTGAAATGCAACTCCCTCTTAACGCTAGCAAGTCGGAGTTCATCAGTATCACCAGACGTCCAGCCACTCGATCATACACCTTGGACGGCCAGTTGCT